CGCTATGAATACATATTGGTTTATTATTCGATTTATAACGCGTATAATAATATCATAATGTTACAACGCCGATAATACGAGTAATTTAAACTAGACGGAATTACGCGTACATAATAACACACATGCGTTATTATAATATCAATACAGGTACGAGTATACATTGTACAGACAGATACTATAATATAATATTTGTATTAGTGTTTACGTGATGCCGACGATATCGGAATAATATTCCTTATACTCGTATGTTTCTTAACGCATCCGTGAAGGTACCGTAGTCACGACTAGGAGAGGCGTGATAGGAGGTGTTTGACGCCCTCCAAAAACCTCAAAAATGCTTTTTCGTAGAATATATTGACGACCAAATATGTTATCCACCCGTTTCAAAATCAATGAGCAGAACGAAATACAAATTACTTACCGACAATGCACGTGCGATAGGAAAATAATGTTAAAACAGTTATCATTAGGGCGCGGATTTGTATGTAAATACATAATTTTATTGAATGCAGATTTCTTAATTCTTTTTAAAAATTAACACGTTTTATAACACCCTGTAGAAAAAACAACTTTTTTATTTTATATATTTCCACATAATTTGATGTTAATAAGTATTTTACCAATAAGTACATATTTGCATATTCATATCTAACCTTTCTGGTAGATTTTTTGTACATAGTAAAAAAAAAAAAAAACTAACATCACTGTAAAACCAATACATTCCTCGCTCCGCTCAGAATCTAAAACTAATTAAAAATACATATTTTCAAGCTAAATATTTCATGTTTTTTATCATATATTTTGGCAAAAATAGCAACATAAATATTTACATATTTTGACTTTTTTAGTGCATACAAATCCGTGCCTCAGTTACCATACATTTGTATGTATACACAATCGTAAAAGAAATGGGTAGTTATTTATTGCACGAGCCGTGCAAAGGGGATTGTTGGTGCATAGTTCCCGTGGTTCTTTGATGCGACCATAATTTTAGCACCCTCCCCCCGAAGTCGGTGGTCTATAGTTGTGCGTATGGATGGCACCGGTGCAGGCATTTAAGACGATTGTATATTGTCTACGGGTCCGCTGATGAGATGTGGTTGACTAAATGCAGTTGTTATCAGTGACACCACTGCTGATGCTATCACAGATGGATAATTATGGAAAACGGAGAATATTATCGATATCTTGATTTATATATCGGATTTGCATACAAACGTATCGCATAGAGGATTCGCGTTCAACAGAATCGATTTTGGGCTGTTCGTTTCAATAATATTATAGAGTGTATAATATTGATATATTATTATATCAAATTTACGTAACTTACTTAACATTGGTCTATTTTCATTGTTTAAACTTTTAAGCGAGATACGAGTAAGTGTGCGAAATATCACAATTTAAAAAGACTTGTTTTTCGATTAAAAATTAAACTATCGCAAAAATCCAACGTATTCAGGCTCAGACGTCACAACGTTATTTTCGATATACTTTTCCCAATTAATTTTTCTCAGCTTTACTTTTTCTAAATCTAATATTACCCTAACCTATAGTTTTAATATTTGTCAAAAAAAAAAAAAACAAAACAAAATGACTCTAAATCTCATTTTTAAAATTTAATGTCTTCTCTCAAAACGACGAATTTATTGATATCAATGATCTAATTGTGTAACTTACAGCCATTGTCCAGAATTAAAAACTTGTAGTGCATTTTTGTTTTTCATACACGAAGTAGATCTACCTACCTATCTAATTTTTTCCAACTTAATAATACATATAAACTAGTAATAGTAGTTATCTGTTTTAATCGAGACCAATATGCATTTATTTATTTGCGGAATTAATATTCATAGTTGAAATTCATGAAAAGTATGTTGTACAATATATTTTCACCGAGAGACATATTTGATGACTTGATATCCAAGCGTATAGTCTGTGGGAACGTATTGTTTTAACTAGTAGATGTGAGTTTTTCTCTGATATTTTTTTCCTGTCTGAGATCTATAGTTATCCAAAACCAAAAGGGCAAAAGGCCAGAATACAATCGAACATCAATAACGTCAGTGATGAGGCTTCTGGTAGCTAATTTTGGATCTATAAATGGGGCATTAATAATAATACTATCATTTTTTGGTTTGATTTTCAAATTATTGTTTCCGCTTTTTTTTGCATTTGTTATAGCTATTTGAAATTTTGAAGTTTTTTTTCATGGTTAAATACTTTTAAAATACTTATATACTCGGATATTCGATAATTCTATAGAATGTTTCGTCGTTTAAGCGGTTTTTATGTAAATATGAAAATATCGAAACTCATGGTTTAGTCACGAATTTGTTCATAAGTGTTTGAAACTCATAAAAATCACAAACATTTACTATTTTTCGATTAGTGCGAATTATCGTAATTTATTTTATTTTAGCATTGCACTAATGTTCGAAAATTAAATATAAAGTTCATCATCATTTTATAATTCGGTCTTAATAGCCGAAAAAAAACAAATGTTCGTTTAATAATGCCGTCATTTTTCTTTTCTTTCAATAAACGTTTTAATCGTTCAAATTAGTAATTAAAATATCCGTTAAAAAGTCGAAAAATTATTTAATAGTCACGTCACCACGAGTATCCGGGGCGTTTTGTTTCGCGTTGTGATTTTATATCGAAGACTAAAACATGTTTTTTTTTTTTTTTTAAATTTATTTATTTATACAATATACGTATAATAATAATATACTCGGATAAACTTGACACACGACTGCGACTACGACTACGACCTGTTGTGTGCTTGTAACAGGCGGTTCGCGATATTTCCTCGTTTTTTTTTTTTTGTACTTTATTATTTACATGACAATCCGATTCGGTGCTGCCGTGTACGCCGCATTACACGTACACGTCATGTATTACACGCGTACTACACGCGCACAGGTATATGGTAGTGCCATCATCGTGTACATGCGTAGGTGCCTAAATAACTTCATATATTTGCGAACAAACTTCATAAACCGAACTAAACGCGTGTTATAAATACGCATCGTATAGAAAACATAGGTACATCATATTCCCGATTTCCGGTAGACATGGCCCCTTGTTGAACGACCTTTGGGACTGCAGAGCGTTCAAGTCTGTAAATCGGATGGTTTTGTAAGGTTTAAAAAGGTCTATGAACAAACGAACTGCGTACATAATATTTTTCATGGTGGAAAAATCGGAGCGTTTCGATCTTCAAAAGGCAATCAAAAAGAAGAAGAAAAAAAATAGCCTGGCATTGCTGATGAGTGTTTTAATTGCAGGGGCGATATTTCGGTTTCTGAATAAGGTTGGAAAAATTTGTTTGAGGCGGGGCCAATTTTCCTCTTCGCAAAGTCGGAACGAAACAAATCTTTATACGCCCCCCTTCCCCCAGTGTTCCTACGTTACGTTTTAATATTCAACAATGCTATTGATATAGATATGTACTACGACCATACAGTTTAATTTTGCACGAAATAACTGATTGTACCATAATTTACTCGGCCGTCGGCGTCTGTTATTTTGCCGACACGTCCAGTGTTAAATCCAAAACATTTTTTCTGGGACGGAGGCATTACTAAAGTTATAGTAAAGACCTATTTTTTTTTTTTTTTTTTTATGCTTATCTACTCTTACTAAAACCATTCAAATTTGTTTAATTATTAATTTACCCAGCTTTAACAGGGGGGGGGGGTAAACTAAATTCCAGGGGGCTACCGCCCTTCTTGTCATATATCTGGATTCAACACTGGACACGTTTGTTTTTATTTTAGACATTTAACAGTTAAACGCGGTAACAATCGTTAGTGATCTCGTTCATACATCTCGGACAGTCGGGCCTCGATAGAGGCGGCCGTTGGCAGCTGTTAGCTTTTGTTTTTTACGTTTTATCGACAACGGCTCAATCATAACAATTTATGCGGGCTATAAACACATTTATACTAAATATTGGGCTGCCAAAGTATAGTCTGAACAGGGCCGTATTTAAGCGCGAGCTTCGGGATGAAATACGTTTCTGTATACTTGTGGTAGGATCCAATGCACTATCCTCGTTACGGCCCCGACTCTGAATCTCTCCTCAAAGACGTTCTGGAGTAGACGCAGGTATGAAGTAGTCGATTTGTTCGTCTTCGTTTTGATGATAATTATTCTATAGTGGCTATAATATCACTTATCGTTTTCATCTATATTATATAACAATCTAAAATCTAGTGTCGTAAACATGAACGATAAATAGCAACAGAAATACACATTTTAACACCGAAATCCGTCTTAACCGTCGGAATAAAATAATATAATAATAACATTATTATGCGTGTTTTATTAGACACTATTGCATTTTCTGTGCATTCTTCGTACAGCGATCGAATAAATAAAATCCACATGATATCCGTAATGCACATAGGTAGTTATTTGTAAGTTTATGTACTGCGTCGCGTTTATAATAATATTATGATTCGAGTGGTCCCGCCGCCGCCGATAGCATCGCGCTCGTATCCCGTATACGCGTACGCGGGGCCCCGTTTAGCCGGACGACAATGGGCGCCGGCGGTCCGTGGGTTTCATCAATCTCCCGCGGTCCGGGGAGACGACGGCGGCGGCGGCCGAAGACCGCGCCGCGACGTCTTCATGCGACCGAGCCGTCGGCCGACCGGCCGTCCCGTACGCGCGCGTAGATAAATCACCGAGCGCGACCGACCGACCGACAGTGCGTGTATGTGTGTGTGTGTTGTGTCGTGTGTTGCGTGTGTGTGTGTGTGTGTGTTTGTGTGTCGTGTGTTGCGTGTGCGCGCGCGCGCTCGCGTGTGATGCGCGTGTGGATTTTCGTTACGCGCGGAGGAGTAGCGTTGCGCAGTACTGTCAGGTATAATACTAGCGTACCTATAAGTACCTATATTATTATATTATACATTACGGAATTTCGTACCGGCGGCGGCTGGTAGGTGGGTATAGGTACTACCGGTACTAGTTACTACTATTATACAGGTACATTATTATTGTAATATATTCTCGCGGATTGATGGATCGGCGGCGGCGCCGGCTGCTGCCACGACCACGACGTCAACGACGGCCGAAGAAATCCGCGCGAACGGAATATAGGCGCACGAGTACTGTTTTCCCGCGAACGCCCGTTTGACCGTTTTCAGATTCCGAATGAATCCCCGAGCAAATCTATTATCATCAACAGTTTTACCGAGATCGATTTTAACACGGACGTGTTTTTCGGCCGGTGTCTCGGCGGACAGTTTTCGAGGCGTTTTTTCCTCCATCGTGGTGCGAACGTTCCCATATAGTGACAACGGTAACGTTAATAAACGTAAAAACGTATCCACGAATCTCTTCCGCGTACCCGAGAAAATACGAAAAACCGTTCGCTCGGCAAACGATTTTTCGGTTAGTTGAAAATGCTCCATGACTTTCATCTACCGCTTACTTTTTGTAGACTCGTAGACGTGTAAACTGTTTTGCAGATAGTGAACAATTAATACGATTTTCAATTTAAAACCGGACAAAAAGCTCAACTCTAAATCGTATTTGGTTTTTAAGTACTTCTAGATTTGGAGCGTATTTTTTGTTTGTCTGTGAACAACTTTTCGACCGATTCGATCGATTGCAGTGTATATTGTGTTTGTTATATTATCTTTGCCTCTGTACATTTGGACATTTTTAGCGGCTCTCTCTGGACCAAATGAGTTCAAACTCGGGGATTAGCTTTTTATTTTTTACAGGTGGATTGATGAAGTGATACAATTTCGATTGAATTTCAATGTATATGAACTTCACCATGTTGTTGGAGAAAGATGTTTTTTTAGTTTTGTACATCCCTTCAGACACCCCAAGTGAAATTATGGAAATGAAATATTTGATGTGCATGATGATGCAAATATCAAGGGTATGAGGGTTTAATTTTGAAGGTTTTAATTTCAACCACTTCCCCCTCGTTAGTATATTTTAAAAAAATCTTGAAAAACACGTTACTTATTTCAATGGAACTTTTTTTGTTCGATTCCTTATCGTAACAAGAAGGAAGCTCTATACGTAAACGAAGGGAGGGTTGTGTACCCAAAATAGGTTTTGTTCTTTTTGTATAGTTTTGTTGTTCATGATATGAATTTAAACTAAATCATTTTTAACTTACATATTTCGTACGGGATGTATTAGAAACAGGGATCGATTAAATCCCATGATACATATTTTTATATTATATGTATGTACATTTTTGTAACTTTCACACAATATAACATAGGTACCGCCATGATATAAAATCTAAGCTATTTGAAACTACATATTAAACAATTTGAAACTGATGAAACCGAAACACTATATGCGTTGAAGAAAAGCAATAGCGGTAAAAAGAATAAAAAAAAAATGATCGGATATATTATAAAAGTAAATTCGTTCTTCTGTCTGCATCATTAAACGCGTGTATCGATTGTAAAATATTATACCGTTTTACTATAAGGATCCTCTTTCCCACTCTCTCGTACGGCGTTAACTGCAGTTTCGTGTCCGTTCGCGTGACTTATCTCATGGAATGTGATAATGCGAATATATTGTTTTAGTTTATCATATACGTTTATTATGTTGAATTATTTCGTGTGCTATTAATTTTGTGTTTTTAACACCGTAAAGGCACAGGGGCGGACTGGCCCACTTTAGTGCTACTGCAGACATGGGCGCCAGGTTTTTAAAATGTCATATGGTGCTCAATAGTTTAGATACTCGTATCTATACGGTTTACCCGACATATATTCCTTATTTTAAAAAACCACAAGATGGAAACAAAATTCCACTTAAAGTTATATATTTTATAAAGCAAATGTATTTTCCCGCACTTCGTAATTGTTAATGAATTAGTTTGTAACCAATTATAGTTTTACTTTTTCATCGCGGTGAATGTGAAGAATGGAAACATTATTCAATCGTGTTTGACTTATTGTAGAAAAAACAATACGATTATGTAGGTCTTCATTTTGCGTGATGCCAAAAAACGATCTTTCGCATGTATATTATATATACTGATACTAATATTACTAACTTTATGCACAATATTTTGTTTAACGTTGATATAATATTTGACGTAGTGCATCATCATTTTTAATCAGTTTCCAGACATTTTCGACATTCTAAATTGGCACCTATCTTGATTTTGCTACATCCAAAAGTATGTTTATAAAATTGAATTATGTATTTATGTGAATTTTTTTTTAATGAATCTTTCAAGTAATAATAAATGTTCAATAACATTTTGTTGAAATCTTTTATTTTAATAAAACTAAAGTGACATCAATAATTGCATAGAATAAGGTCCTATATTCACTTCCTTCAATTAAACGTTTAGGAAGTTTTCGAATCCTACTTTCATTTTTTTTTTCAAGCATAGTTCATTTAACTTCACTTATGATTCATTCCATAAATATTAAAACTAGAATTTATTAGTTCTGAATTTATGCTTTTACATTGTTTATTTTATTTCATGTTTGCATGAAACTATACTTGCAACTATGCATTTAAAAGTTCTATGCGGTTAGAAATAGAAATCATTACATTTTTTAAAAAATAAAAACTGTAAATTTTATTATCTTTTTGAAATATCCTTTTGTTGTGCCTCCAACTTTACTATTTTCATTCGAAAGAGTTTTTAAAAACTCAATAAATGTTGCATAATTTTTATACACATTCTTTAAAGAAACGATTTGCATACACCAGCATGTTGGTCAAAAGGGTCTTAGGGATTTTGATGGTAAATTATTTTTAATTTGGAGTGCATTAAAAATTGCTTGTCTTTTTGGTCCATTTCCAGCAGAATAATGAACAAATAACGCATGCGGATCTATATCGTTTATTCTTTTCTGGAGACAGGTCATTTTTTGATTATCCAAGGTATTGTCTAAAAATAATCGAACTTCGTTCCGAATCGTTTTTCATTAGTAATGGTTTATCGTTGCTTTCAGATATAATTTAAATAGCTTTATGTATCCTATCTTCCAAACTTCCCATATACAACAGTGGCGTACCCAGCCTCAGTATAAGCTTTTTTTTTTTTTTATTGATAAATTTGCGTGGATTTTTGTGTTTATAACATGTGTAAATATAATTCGATAACTCCGGATTAAACTGACTCTTGTGTTTAACATTGTTTATCTATATTTTCGAAATAGCTAAAGTAGCTTTAGTAATTTTTACTACCTTCGAAAACAACAGTAAATAAGTAGTTAGCTTTGTTGATTAATAAAATAATTGACTTTTTTTCCCAATTGACTTGACTTATTACTAAGTCAATATTATATTCATTAACTCCCCCAGCATTGAATGTTATTTTATTTTTTGTATTTCAATCGAGTCCTATTAAGCGACTGTTAAACAAATTCAATATTATTTGCTTTTTCGCCCTTGCATGTATTTTATAAATGAAATGCAAAGTATTTAAGTTAGCATAATGTTTCATATGTACCTACTATATAGTTGAATAGTTCAATTTCACTTTGTAATAAATATACTCGTACCTACCCATCAAAATAATGTTATCAAGGAGTATTATACAGATGCAAATTTAATCTTTTGACTATATTTACTATATTATTATTAAGTAACTAATATATAGGTATGTACTGTGTGCATTTCATCGGATTATTATTATTTTTTTTTTTACATTTGCGCGATTACTTCAAATAACTATAATTTACATATATTCGGTACACGTCGTGCATACGGTTTAAATATGATAATTATGTATAATACGCGATGTGTAGTTTTTGAAATACCTACCAAAATGTCGAAATCTGCACGTGCGGCCGTATAAAAACCAATATTAATGACGCGTATAATTTTAAAATAAATCGCGAAATCTCGAAATATTATAATAAAATACAATATAAAACTTAATAATAATCTTATAACTCGACTAATATATTTCAAGCGATGAGTTCAAAAAGTATAATGTGTTACGGACCAGTGCATTATATTGAAACGATCGAATAAAACAAAGAGCTGATAGATACTGCTAATGGGCTTGCGCCACTGTTGTAGGTAGGAAGTTAGGATGATAGGATATTATGCAGAGTAATTTATAATTTATACACACACGCGACGAGAAACGATACGTAGTAAATCATACGCGTAGTGAAAACTAATACATTCCTTGCTAATCTGAAAATCTAAAAATCACCGATTAATAATGTAATAAATAGAGTTAAATATTATTAAAATAATAATATTATGACAGTCAAGAGTATGATGATAATATATCGCGCCAGGGCGTGTTCATATAATTATATATTGTACATTTGATAATATTGACGTTCATCGTACGTTTTATCATTTTCAAATTGAATATTTTCTTTTAAACGTATAATTACCATATTTTATGTACATGTTGAATAATAATAAAAAGAAGAAGAATATTTGTTCTTAAGACGATTTTAACAGTTAGATATACGCTATAAATTTTAATATTGTGAAGGTTTAAAATTTGTGAATTTCGTGTGTTAACTACTAAAATGTTATTTGTACTTGAAAATAATATTCTTAGAAAGATTGAACTATAAAACAACTAACTAATTGTAAACGCACATATAGCCATAGTGTCCGCAAAAATATATGATAGGCCCCTAGGGGGAAAGACAAGATTTATAGTGGATAAATAATACATATTATAATATTTTACTACTTTAATAAGCATTTTTTCCCCACCCAAGTGTAGCGAGAAATCTATTCGTTTTACAAAGACTAGTTTTTATTATATTCACCGGAATTACTTTCGGTCGATTTTTCTCACAAATGTTTTCGAAATTCCTCACAATTCCCCTACCGTTTTCGTATAATCACTTTCAATATTCAATGTGTTTAATGTATTTTACGAAAAGCCAGAAGCGGGTAAATATCGGACTTATCGACCCCTTCCTTTGTCGCTCATGTAGTATATACTATAATGCTATGTTGAAGAAATGCTAAACAATTATAATAATAAAAAAAACTAACGCTTTAACTGCAAATAAACATGGTCCACTATTTGGAATTTTTTTTTATTAAATTGTACTGTTATGTACAATATGTTTTTATTATTGTATACTATAATGTTCAAGGTCTTATACGTTTCGCAGGTGATACGTTCGATATTAAAATATTAATTTCCATTTTAAATTAATTATTTTCAAATTTATAGCGTATAGCTATAATCTAATCGTTGTGTTTACCCAGTTGAACTATTTCCTCTCTATTATAGCTTAATTGGTTATCACGACAATAATTGAGTAAACATTATTTTAAAATATTTATTATTAAGAAACAAAATATGTAAAAAAAAGTGCTTACGGTCTTATATTATTTTCTTACTTTTTTTAAACAATTTTTTATACGGTAAACATAACTAAATTCGCTAGATAAATTATAATGCAATTGACTTAATACATGAATGCCACATTGACCTATGAAACCTATAAAAATCACTTAGAAATTCAAAAAATAATTTCCTTAAAGTATCAAGTAGATAAAATTTCCTTTCAAAAAAGGTGTTGCACTTGATGCATCAGAGCAAGATTTCTGGTAAAAAAGTTGTTTGCAGAAAAAAAAAGTAAACATCAATTTTGAACTAATACATTCCTCATTACGTTCCAAATCTAAAATAAAATTGTATGTGTATTATAATGTACCTATATGTACAGTTTTTCAAATTAAATTGTAAATTTAAACTATGGTTAAAAAATAAAATAAAAGTTATCGTGATTTATATTGCTGTTGAGAATAATTTTGTTTCGGACAGTAAACGTGTTCAAAAAGTTTCTCAAACTATAAGTAATTTTCCGATATTTTACGGTTTTTTAATTAAATCGAAAATGTTAAAATGAATCATCAATAC